CGCCCGCTGGCGCGAGGGCACTGGGCAGCCGCGGCGCAGAGGCTGGCCCTCGCGGGCGCCGCCCTCGAAGCCCACCCGCAGGCGGCAGCCGGCTGCCCCATTGGATCAGATCCCGAAGAAGAGCTCGGAGCTCGTCGACCCTGCAGCAGCGCCCTGCGCGCCGAGCAGCTTGGGCCGCCGCCCCCCCCAGAGCCGCCGCAGCCAAGTCCTGGCCGGCTCGCCGCCGGTCCTCCGCGCGTCTGACCAGGCCGCCGTAAGACCCCCCTGGGGCTGGACTGAGCCAGGATGACAGCAGCTCCAGCCCCCCTCCCGACCTCCCGCGGGCGCTCCAACGCATCGGCCTGCGACCGGGGTGAGGAGCGAGCTCCACCTGGCAGCCCAGCCAGCAGTCGTTCCGAGAGGCGACGCAGCCCCGGCAGTTCCTCTCAGCCGACTGCCAGCGCGGCCCCTTCCTCCAGCCCCAACCTATCGCAGGCGCCGCCGGCGAAACAGTCCGGCGCCGGCGCCCTGCGAGCAGCGGCGAAAGAGCCGGCGCGCGCGACCCCCAGGACCGATGAGCAACTCAGCCCAGGCGCTTCCCAAAGGTGGCGCGGATGGGACACTGCGGAGCGAATCCCGCCCTGGCGGCAGGGGCCGACGCTGCGCCGACCGCCCCCCGATCCGCTGCCCCAAGCCCAGTCTGGCGCCGCGGATCAGTTTCATTACAAGCCGCGGCGCAAAGTGACGTGGCACCCCGCCTGGAACTATAACGCCGACGCAAGGGAGGATTGGAATGAGGTGGTCAACCGCTTCAAAAGAAGAGTGCGGCCCCATGTTGGCGGTCGGCTGGGGCGCCGTCTGCGACCGTGGGCGGGGGCCGCGCTCTGCCAAGGGCCCCGTGCCCCGCCGCGCTGACTTCTGCCCGGACTTTGTGTGCGCGAGCTCAGCAAAGCCAGTTGCGGCGTCCGTGGGCCGCGCAAACAGGGGCATCCGAGTCGATTGGGGCACCGAGTGGCATCGGGGGCTTGACGCCAGGAAGCAAAGCGCCGAGCTTGCCAAAGGCAAAGGGAAGGGCCCCCCGCCGCAGGGGAAAGGCAAGCGGCCCGCGGACTCCTCCTGGCCCAGCAACGACCCCACTCGTCAGCGCTGGCCAGCCTCTAGCAGACACCGACGGTAACTCTGTCGCAGCTGCCTTGCCACCTTGACCCGTTTTGAGTCTTGCGTCCATAGGCTCAGGCAGTGGCCGCAGAGGTCTTCCGCCATCTTCCCCCGCTTGCCATTGCGGCACCCACTTTCGCATCCGCGCGCCTATTCGCTTCCCCCCCCCCCCCCCCCGTTCCGCGGGCTTCCCGCTCCCGCTCGGGGCTTGCCTCTTCCCGCCGCCGTCGTTCCTGCCCAGCGGCCCCCTGCTGCGCGCTGCGCGCGGCGCCGACCCGCGCCCCTTCGCGCGCTCAGGGCGGCTCCATGGCTGCCCTGCCACCGCCCCGAGTCGCCCCTCGCGGAGGTGTGCCCAGCGCCCCGGCGGGCTGGTCTCGCCGCCCGATCGCGGCCGTCGGGCCACTCCCTCGCTCCGCCTGGGGGTGCCCAGCTCTGCCGCTCAAGCCCCCCGCTTTGGCTCGGGGTCGCCGGTCTTCTGCAGGTTTTGCGCAGGCGCTGCCCGTGGCACCCTGCGTCCTTGCCGTGCCCTGTGCCAGCCGGGCGACGCTCGCTGCCCTGCCGGCGTCTTGCCGCCCTGCTTGGCTTTCAGGCCCCGCCCGTTGGCCTGCGCCTCAAAAGGCCCTCTGATCTCGGCGCTCGCCCCGCCCATCTGCCCTCCCTGGGCCCGCCTCTCCCCCTCCTGGCGCGGCCCCTCCTGCTGCTTCCCGCCCGCCGGCTAGCGTTTGCTGCGTTTGGCGCATCGCTGAGTCGTTGCCGTTCCTCTTCCGCGCTCTGCGCTTCTCGGGCTTCCTGGTCTCGGCGCCTCCGCCTGCCCATCTGTCTGCTCGCCCGCCATCCACTGGCGCCCTCAGCTCCGTGCCGCCCCCCTGATGCAGCTCCGATTCTGGGTCGCCATTCCCCCGGTCGCTCGCTGGGCAGCGGCGCCGCCTGTTCGTTCGGGCGCTTTCGTGCCTGCCCACCCCTGCCTCTCGTATCCCGCCGCGCCCCGTAGGCCCGCAGGTCCCGGCGCTACTTATCACCCCTGGGGCCGCGCCCTGCTGGTGCACTGGGGCGGGTTTCTGGTGCGCGCGTGGTGCTCTCTCGCTGGCCGCCTAGTTTGGCTGGACTGCCTTCTTCCCCCAGCTGCAGCTCAGTGCCGGCGCGGCCCGGGCGCGGGCGGGGACGGGGGGGGCATGGCGCAGGTCGGTTTCGGGCGAGGAATTATCGGGCGGGGTGTCCCAGGGGCCAGATGACCATGAGGTGGTGATGCGGAAGCGAAGGGGAAAGGGGGGGGGGGGCGCTGGTCGGCTTCGAGGCAGGAGTTGTCAAGCGGGGGGGCCTGGGAACCAGCAGGCCAAGGGGGGGGGCGCGGGGGTGCCGGGGGGTGGCTTGGTCGGCATTGGGGGGGAATTGTCAAGTGGGGGGGCCCGAGAACCAGAGGGTCAGGGGGTGGGCGCGGTGGGGGGGAGCTGGTGCGTTTCGGGCCAGGACTTGTCGAATGGGAGGTCTCGACATCGAACCAGAGGTCCAGGAGGTGGAGATGCCGGGGTGCGGGGGGGAGCCGATGGTCGATTTCGAATGAAGATTTGTCGAGCGGGAGGTCTCAGGGGATAGATGGCCGAGGGGTGGAAGTGCCCGGGCGCGGGGGTGCTGACCGGTTTCGGGCCAGGAATTGTCAAGTCGGGGGTCCCGAGAATCAGGGGGCCAGGAGGTGCGGGTGCCCAGGCGCGGGTGGCGCTGGTTTGTCTCGGCCCAGGAATTGTCGAGTGGGGGTTTTGGTGATCGAGCCAGGGGGCCCGGGTGTGGGGATGCCAGTGGGCCGGGGGGGGGGGGGGGTGCGGTAGGTTCGCGCCATGGAGTGTCGATTGGGGGGTCTCAAGAGCGACGAGGGGGTGGGGTGCGAGTGGTTTATCCCAAGAACCAGAGGGGCAAGAGTGGGCATGCCCGAGCGCAGGGGTGGTAGTGATTCGTTAACTTCGGGTTAGGAATTGTCGATCGATCGGAGGGGCCCGAGAACGAGGGCTGGGCGGCGGGGGTGCCGCGGGGCGCCGGGGGGGGGGGGTGCTGGTTAGCTTCGGGCCAGACAGTGGAGAAGGGGCCACCAAGAGCCAGATGACCAGGGCGCGGGGATGCTGGGGCGCAGGGGGGGGGGGGGGTGGGCGTTGGTCGACTTCGAGGCAGGAGCTGTGGGGGTTCCGAGAACCAGGAGAAACGCTGGGGATGGCGTGGCGTGGCGTGGGGGCCAGAAGACCTGGGGGTGGGGGTGCCTGGGCGTGGGGGCGGGGGCGTTGGTCGGTTTCGGGCTTGGAATTGTCGAGTGGGGGATCCCAAGAACCGGAGGACCAGGAAGTAGGGGTGCCAGGAGGGGGGCGTTGGTCGTTTTCGGTTCAGGAATTGTCGAGTAGGGGGTCCCAGGAACCCGAGGGCCAGGGGGTTGGGATGCCGGGGCGTGGGTAAGGGGGGCGTTGGTCGGTTTCCGGCTAGGACTTGTCGAGAGGGGGGTCGCAAGAGCCAGGGGTCCAGGGGGTCGCGTCAGGAATGTCGAGTGGGTTTTCTACAAACAAGAGGACCACTGGCTGCCCCTCATAACAAAGGTTTAGACGATGGTCGTGCCGGGGCAGGGGGGGGGTCGTGGTGGGGGATGCTTTCGGGTGTTGGATCCATGTGGGGGGCCAGGGTTGGTTCGGAACGAAGAGATGTTGGGTTGGGTGGCCTCTAGAATAGAGGCTCAGACGATGGTGCTGGGGCGCGGTGTTGGGCGTTGGTGGGTATTGGGTGAGAGATTGCAAGGCGGGTGGCTCCCCGAACAAAAGGTTCTGGGCGGCGGAGGGTTGGGTGGATGGTGCAACAAAAGTATCCAGCACGCGCCCTTGGGGTCGGTGGATTCGATCGGCCATCCTATTTCGATCAGCATGATCTCTGCCGTCGCCTTCGTGACTCTCGCGAATGTGCTGTTGAATGTATGATATGATGCTGGCGCCCCTGGTTTCGCTCCTGTCCGAGATCGGGCTGTGATCCCGGGTTGTTGCCCACTCATCCGTTTCTGCGTCTCGCGTCAGTGCGCATCGGTGCTGGTCGTCTGCGTTGTGGTCAAGCTGTGGTAGTCCCTGCGTTGCCGCCTCCAGGAATGGGAGCATGGCTTCTGGTTTTTAGCAGGTCGATGGTGGGCTGGTGGGGAGCTTGACGACGCATTGCAATATCACCTGGTCGAAGGCAGCGTTGAAGTTTAAGAAACATAGTATGGACGTACGTCCCTCTTTCTTCATCTGGCTGAGACACGTGATGGGGGTATGTGTCATGAAGTCGGTGCTGTGGTGATGTCTGGCCTCTGTTGGTGCGTCTCTTAGCCGTTGTGCGGTGACTCTTTCGAGTCTGGTGCGTAGGATGCGGTGGTGATGCTTGACCATCTCGTTTGGTAGTCGGTGCTCTGGCTTCCCTATTTCATCCTCCTCTTCGTCGTTGTCGTCGTCGTCCTCCTCCTCCTCCTTGGTCACGTTGTCTCCTCCTTCTCCTGCTGCTCTTCCTCCATCCTGCTCCGCCCCCTATCCCTCCTACCCAACCCGCGCCTCCTGCAGCCGCTTCTCCTCTTGCTCTCCCTACCTCCGGCGTGATGCTTGTTTTGCAGCGCTATCCTTCCAATGCCTTGACGCTTTTCACGGGGCCGCCTTTTCATCCCGAACCGTTTTCGGATGGGTATCTCTCAGGGGAGAAAAAACCACCCAGACCGGACAATTGGCGTTTACTAAACGGCCACGGGCGTTTACTAAAAGCCTTGCCGTGTTCGATTCCTTCTTTGGGTGCGTTTACTAAATGGCCTCGCTTGTCGGGGTGGTTATTCTGGAGGTGGATTTTTTGCCCTCTAATCTCCGCAACCCATTCTGTATCGAGACCGGGGCCGCCCGGGGGTTCGATGACGCGCGCGTGGGGGCCCGGGCAGCGGGTGCGATGCAGAAGCCCCCCGCGCCAGATCGGCCCGTGGTCAGCGTGGACGAGGGCCCTGGCAGGCTGAGGACCTCAGCTCGTTCCTGCTCCTGTTGCGCCTCGTGCTCCTCCTCCTCTTCCTCCTCCTCCTCCTCCTCCTCATCATCATCATCATCATCTTTCTCCTCAGCATCTTCATGCCGCTTCTGCTCACCCTGACCCCCCCTGCTCCTGATCCTGCTCCTGCTGCTGCTCCCGCTGCTGGTCCCCCTGCTCTTCCTGCTCCTGCTGCCCCTCCTCGTCCTCCTCCTCCTCCTCCTCCTCCTTCTCCTTTTCCCTTTTTTTTACGGTAGACCAACCTGAGGTTCCCCTGTGGCGTTTTCAAAATAAAAAAGGAAGCAAGAGTGTACGACTCGTCTCAAACTGTATCTGGCGGGTCCTGCGGAAAATGAAATAAGCAAAGTAGGGGACGAGACAAGTAAAAAGATTAGGCGCCCGCCAGGTCCTCGAGGTCGGCACTAACCTTAGTTATCAAGTACCCCCAGTCAGCAAATTACGCTACCGAGGAACCCCACATACTTATGTTTTGCTATGTTTGTTCACATACAATATCGTGCTTCGCCGTCCCCTTCACCCTTGCGCTAGCTGCACCCCCAACCATCATCAGTCATATACGCAATCCACACCAGACGAACCAAGCTGACCAGCCAGACTGACCAGACAAGCAACCTCAGCCAGACCAGCCAGATCAGCAATCTCAGCAATCCCAGCCAAACCCAGCCAGGCCAATCAACCAAATAAGTGAGAACAAACATATTAGTCACACCAACAATCGCAGCCAGAATAAGCCAGACGAACCACACGAACCAGCCAGGCCAACCAACCACGCCATCCAGACCAACCAGCTCAGACCAACCATACCATATCAAACCAAACCAGACCTGACCAGACCTGACCACACCGACCACACCAACCAGCCGCTGCACGGCCAGCACCATAACGGCCTCTCCAACAACGGCCCTCGGTGGTGTCGAGAATATGCCGCGCATGCCATGCCCTGCGCCATGGCCCGCATAAACGCCCCGCTCGGGGACCATTCCCTGCGCACCCCCGGTGGTGTCGAGAACATGCCGTGCCTGCCACGCCCTGTGCCATGGCCCGCATAGACGCCGCGCTCGGAGACCACCCCCTGCGCACCCCCTACGAGGTCGAGAAAGTGCCACACCTGCCACGCCCTGCGCCATGGCTCCAATAAACGCCCCGCTCGGGGACCATTCCCTGCGCACCCCCGGTGGTGTCGAGAATATGCCGTGCCTGCCACGCCCTGCTCCATGGCCCGCATAGACGCCGCGCTCGGAGACCACCCCCTGCGCACCCCCTACGAGGTCGAGAAAGTGCCACACCTGCCACGGCCCTGCGCCAGGCCCGCATAGACGCCGCGCTCGGAGACCACCCCCTGCGCACCCCCTACGAGGTCGAGAAAGTGCCACACCTGCCACGCCCTGCGCCATGGCCCGCATAGACGCCGCGCTCGGAGACCAGACCACCCCCTGCGCACCCCCTACGTCGAGAAAGTGCCACACCTGCCACGCCCTGCGCCATGGCCCGCATAGACGCCGCGCTCGGAGACCACCCCCTGCGACCACACCTGAGCCCTGCATGGCCCGCATAGACGCCGCGCTCGGAGACTCCACCTCAGCCCCCCCAGCCGCGCTGCGAGCGCGCGTCGCGGCCCTCGTTGAGCTGTATGCTGTGCTGAGCTGTGCTGTGCTGTGCTGTGCGGTGCTGTGCTGCGCTGCTTGTGTGTGTGTGTGTGTGCTCTGTGTGCTGTGATGTGTGCGTGTGTGCGTTGTGTGTATGTGTGTGCTTGTGTTGTGCTGTGCTGCGCTGCGCTGTGCTGTGCTGCGCTGTGCTGTGATGTGCAGCTGTGTTGTGCTGTGCTGCGCTGCGCTGCGCTGCGCTGCGCTGTGCTGTGCTGTGCTGTGCTGTGATGTGCAGCTGTGTGCTGTGCTGTGCTGTGTGCTGTGCTGTGCTGAGGGAGGTGAGTGAGTGAGTGAGCGTCGCGGGTGAGACGCGGCAGGGAAGAAAACTATAACCCCTACGAAACATGTGGGCAATAAAACCTATGACCCCAATGTTTCAGTGTTAGTGTCTCTTCGGATGGCAAGTCACAGCAATTAGATATTGCAAAGAGTGACGCAGTAAGCGACCGTCTCATTGCCAGTTCTTTCGCATACGTGCCGTCTGGTGGCATTGTAAACAGGCAAACGAGACAATAGTTGGTACTGGAAGTTACCGTGAAGGAGAGAGAGAGGAGGGTCATATATATAAACTAGGAGGAGTGACAGTGAGTGTGGCTGTGTAGGGCTAGCTGTGCCAAGCAAAGTGTTGATGCAAGAGTACGCAACATGTACCCCACAACTCGCGCGTGGGCAGACTGCCCACGTGTCCACGACTGGGGCACAAAAAAGAAAAAATGATCTGTAAGCCCTTCTCCGGTTTTGATGAAACGAATATGGCGGTACTTGGAGGCAGTAGCAGTGGTAAGGGCTAAATGTGGCACAAGAGAAGAATCACAGACTGTGCAGATACAGGCTTAGCGAGCGCACTGGTAAGATCCTCCTCCTCCCCAGTACAAAACCACCCCAAGTCCTTCTGGCTAAGCTGTATAGCCAACTGAAAAGGTGCAGGACATGCCTTTGTAGGCTAGGTAGTGTATAGTTGTCCCTCTTTGCCAGCAGTAGGCCTGCTCTTGTAGCCAGCAGTAGGCCAGCTTTTCGGTTCCTAGGTGGAGGGACCACCGTCACCATATTTATGTCAGGAAGGAGGGGTAGGTATGTGAGAGCGAGGTGGAGAAAGGTCGGCCTGATATGCTGCATAGGCTGGCCTGTGCAGGCTGGCATGCAGGTCTAGGCTTATGAGGTAGTGCGTGCCAGGCATAGTTTACTTCTACGAGTGTGGGTTATGCAGGCTGCTCTGTGACGGCTGGCCTAGCGTTGTGAAGCGCATGACATGGCCGTAACATAGAAACATATATAGCCTGCCATATACAGGCTAGGTGCGTGTTGTGGATAGCGATGCCTGTAAAAACCGAGCCTGTGCTACTGCGGTCGTGTAAAGTGGGGTCGTTCCTTGGATGGGGGCTCCCAGCGTAAGCACAGTGGACTGGTGGGGAACATCAGTCAGTGCATGGCAAGCCTCCTCCTCCACAAGTGCCCCCACCCCCCACGAAATGGAATCAGTTTAAGGAGTACGCAAGGTACAGACAATTTGCGCAAAGTGTTGCTGACAAGTATTGCTGCTGCAAGCGGCGGCATGCAGCATGTGCTCCACAGCGCGCGCGTGGACAAATTGCTCACGTGTTCACGGTTGTGGAGCAACAGGAAAGTCAGCTTGCAGGCACTTCTCCCCCATCACCAACCCAGTAGATGCACATCCACCACCTGCTCTCGTCCAGTTCAGCATCATGCGTACCGCACGGTGACGCAGTGCCGACTGCAGCTGCGCAAAGAGTTGATTGTAGCGGCTTACGGTGTAGGTTAGTTTTGCACAATTGAAAACGCACAGCTTGTGCAGATACAGGCTTGGCATGTGCATTGTGTACCGCGGTGCCTGCAGCGAGCGCGCCCGCGCTGTGGGCTAGGGTTTCTGGCTGGCCCCAAACCGTCGAAGCTGAAAGGGAGGTGCCATCACCATGTCAAGAGAACGGGAGTGTGTATGCAGCGTCAGTATGCGGTGGGACGAAAAGGAGGCGGAGCGGCCGTTGCGTGAATACGTTGTGTGGCCTGAGCAGTGCACCAGTTTATTCCCTACCTAGGCTCTGCCTAGAAGGGTTCTTACTCTCTGGGCTTAAAGGGGCCGGGCAGTGGAAAGCGTCCCGGGCGGTTCCCCCGGTATCCGCCCCGCGGTTCCCCCAGTCCCCTGGGAGCTTTAGCTTTAGCTTTAGCTTAGCTTTAGCTTAGCTTTAGCTTAGCTTTAGCTTAGCTTTAGCTTAGCTTTAGCTTAGCTTTAGCTTAGCTTTAACTTAGCTTTATATTAGCTTTAGCTTAGCTTTAGCTTAGCTTTAGCTTAGCTTTATCTTAGCTTTAGCTTAGCTTTAGCTTAGCTTTCGCTTAACTTTCGCTTAGCTTTAGCTTAGCTTTAGCTTAGCTTGCTTTGGCTTAGCTTTAGCTTAGCTTTACCTTAGCGTTCGCTTAGCTTTAGCTTATAATTAGCTTAGCTTTCGCTTAACTTTCGCTTAGCTTTAGCTTAGCTTTAGCTTAGCTTTAGCTTAGCTTCATCTTAGCTTTCGCTTAGCTTTCGCTTAGCTTTAGTTTAGATTTCGCTTAGCTCTATCTTAGCTTCAGCTTAGCTTTAGCTTAGCTTCATCTTAGCTTTAGCTTTAGTTTTAGCTTAGCTTTAGCTTAGCTTCAGCTTAGCTTTAGCTTAGCTTTAGCTTAGCTTCAGCTTAGCTTTAGCTTAGCTTCAGCTGTGCTTTACTGTTACTACTAATGCTGGGCTTTCTTAGGGGCTCCAACTCCTAGGTAGGGTCGCACTGGGATAATTATGTTGAAAGAAGAATGGTCTCAGTGGGGGATGCTCTGGGGTAACTGAAGGGCAGCGAATACTTGTGGTGGAAGTCGTGGCATGCTGCTGGCGATGTGTACCTATCCTGTTCCATTGCCAGTATCTTCGTAGCCCGTCGGCTTGGCTTTGGCGGCGCCTTGTATAGACGTATCATCTGCTTGGGCTGCGGTTCCTTGAATAGTACCCGGATTGGTGGGTGTCGTGTAGTCAGTTGAGGCAGAGCCCGTAGCTCCTCTGGTGTAAACGGGGCCTGCCGATGTAGCTGTGGAGTGTTAGGTCGTCTGTATTGTTCGCGAAGATAATGCGGCGGCTGCAAGCGCGTATGTGCTGGTCGCCTCGTTTCACAGCTGCGTTGTGCGTTGCTATGGCTTTTGCTGCGATGGTGGGGAAGTGGGCGTGCAGCGTGGCGGGGGTCTGCGGCGCAATGGCATTGATCGGCACCTATTGTGTTCAGCGTCGTGTCATGACCTCCTCGCGGGGTGGGCAGGTGAATGGTGCATGTAGGACTGGTGGTGGCGGGTGT